GAGAAGCGCAAAACACTTTTTGGAAAGAGCCGCGAATACACCTTCCTGCGCGGCCCCAGGGGTAAGGAGCGTCAGCCCTACCTTCGCGTCTGGCTCCGTGAGGAAATCCCGCAGGTTTCCGCGGAGGAGATCCCGCACCTCCGAGTGTCTGTTCAAACAGAGGCTTAGCCAAACTCCTGGCGAGAGCTCCCTCCCCTCCCTGGGAGGGTGCCGGAACCCTTGAATGGCAGATCTGGTGGCCCTATTGTGGAAAAGAGAGGGCTATTGCCAGGGCGGCGTCAGCAGCACTCCCGGAGCCGGCGGCCGAGTCCCGCCGGGCAGCCGGCCCCGCAGCACCGGGAGGGAAGGGTCGGCTCTGCCACCCCGCTCCCCGAAGCTCGCCTTGCCTCCTCGCCCTTCTGGCTCCGCTTGCCGGCTTCTGCTCCCTGATGCCAGCTTAGGTCCCGTCCCTGCTTCCCCACTCGCGCCTCCCTCTCGCTCACTTCTCCCCTTTATACTCCTTTGTTGCCCCCCGCGGGGATCAGGGCAGCAGCATCTCCCCACCCCGGCGGAGAGAGGTACAGGGGGAGCCCGCGCCCTTATCCGAGGGGAAGGAGCCGAGAGCCGAGACCAAAGCTGCGGGGATAGGGAAGGGGAGGCAGGACCGAATGGCCACCACAGCTCGGGATGCCCTTCTCAAAGTTCTCAGCTCCCCTGGCTCGCGAGGGGCAGTCGCCTCCCGGCAGAGCGGTTCCTGCGGAGATGCTCAGCCGGGCGGCCCACATCCTGGTGCGGGGGTACGGTATCGGACCATGCGGAGAGCCCCGCAAGAGTCCCAAGAAGAGCACACGGACCCCGTAACCCCGTTCCGCCCAGGGCGCGGGGCTGCTGCGGGAGCCGGGGCAGGGGGCAGGTGCCGCAGAGCCCTTGAACGTCGGCGGGGGCTCCGCGGGGCCCCGCGGGGAGCCCCGAGCGCCTGGCAGCGAGCGGTCCCTCGCGGGAGGCGCAGAGGGACCACCAGCGAGCTCGTTCTGCCGTGCCTGCAGCTTACATTACATCAGGGGAGGAGGAGGAGAAATGCATTAAAAGCGTCAATTTAAAAGAGCATGCAGCGAGCCTCCGACTCCTACAACAGTGGCTTTCTGCACTTCTAACAATAAAAGGTGCACTTGTGGCTGAACTTTTTATTTGCTCGCTAAATAAAAGAAACGGTTCTTATTTGCATAACGCGGCACTTAAAGAATTTCCTCTGTTAGAGAAAGCCCGTTTCCTTTCTCCTGTTTCCTTTGAGCAAATATCCCCATCGCATTCGCCTTCACTACACAAAGGATTTTATTCCAGCCCGTATTTCTAGACAGCAATATACGTATACCTTTCTGTGTGTATATGGGTATGTGAACACATATGTTTCAAGACATATAACTTACTTCAGCTCCAAGTAATAGAAATAGCAAGTCAGATTACTACAGCACATAAATCATTCGAAAGCTTTTTTCTCTCATAAGCCAAGATATATAACCTGTTCGGAGGACTAGATGATCTTGAAGGTCTCTTCCAACCTTGGTAATTCTATGATTCTGTGGCTTTTATTTAAGAATTCGGCTTTAATTACCCGTGCCGGTTTGCGGAATAACCCGTACCCCTATTCGCGGCAGGGAATGCGGGGGAAGCCGTGCGTGGCCGCCGGCCCGCCGCAGCGCACAGGCAGGGGGGCTTCAGCAGGGCGTGAGGAGCCCTGCCTGGTGCCCCATAGGGCCAGGCCGGCAGCCGCCGCTGCGAGAGGGCCGCGGGGAGCCCGGTCGAGAGCCAGGGCTGCCCGGTGCTACCGTCCCTGCCAGCAGCCGGGCTGGAAGCGCTCCGACGATTGCCGTCCGTGTCCTTCGTGTATTTACGGACGCAGCTCGCCCTTTGCCTATATTTATCCGTACAATGCAGTGGAAGGGCTTAGATCTAGAAATAGAAGCCGAGAGCAATAGATGGCACGCTCGGGCTTTTTATAACTCAAAAAGACTTGTTTATTAAAGACATAAAATTAAATTAAACAACAACAACAAAAAGGAGTGGACACCCTGTCTGGCCGGCTCGGAAGGTGCGTGCTATGCCCGCCGTACCCCGCCGGGCCCAGCCCCCGCCTCAGTGCCAGCCGCTCCGCTCCGGGCTCGACCGAGGCCTCTACCAGCGCCGAGGGGAAAGGCATAGGCGAGAGTTGCGGGGCCGCACTGCGGAGCGCAGCGCCCCCCGGGAATGCGGAGACCGGCCCGGGCCACGGGCCTGCCGCAGTGCCGGGAGTGGGGAAAGCCGACCGTCTGAGCATCGCCCGGCGGGAGAGCCTGCCTGTTGGTCGGCCTCGGTTTGCATTTTGTTTGTTTAGGGTTTTTTTAATCTTCTTTTGGGATTTTGTTGTTTTTCAAATTGAGGGATTTACGGTCACGACATGCCACTACTCCAGCATCCTGCTCAGGCTCGGACAACGGGGAACGCTGGGAGCCAGTAGTCCCCGCCGCAGCCGCCGCGCTGCTTTCCCTCTGCACAATGCGCAGGGCAGTACCAGCACCGAAGCTGCCGCGGGGTCTCGACGGAAGGCAGCGGGGCAGCCGTCTGCTCCCCGGCTTCCCGAGCAAACCCCTCCGAGTAGCTCTCCTCACCCTCCGTGTCCCGCCTGCGCTCCGGCTGGCCACCCTTGTGCCCGCTGCAGACAACGAGGGCGGCTTTCTCTTCCCGCGCGCTCACTCACGCCGAGGTTATTTACCCGCACTCGGAGGTTTCCCGGTCCCTTTAGCCCTTCGCGTGATTCCCGGGGCACAGCCCCTATGCCCGGCGCGGTGTGTTTCGCCGTCTGGGAAAAGGCGGAGGGGCGCCTACGGGTGTTGCAGCCGCTCTGCGAAACCCCGCTCTAGCTGTTATTAGCAAGTCTCTCTCTTCAACCATTAAGCACTCTTATTATCACTATTGCTATTAATTATCCTCGCCGAACCATGTGTCTCTCATTACAGCCCACCATCCCTAGCCACATCACAAGGGGCTCGCAAAGAGCACGGTCTGGGCCAGTCCGGGCCGCTCGCCGCCGCTGCGGGGCTCCCGCTGAAGGAGAGCGCGGAGGCCCACTTGAAAATAAATCAGGGGAACCCCGGCGGTGTTAAGGAGGGTAATAAACTCGTGTGATTCTACCGGGAATTGTAATGTGGCATCACAGGCTATGCCGGCGCCCTGGGCTTTGCAACCTACAAAAACAAGAGAGCCGGTTAGCAGAGAGAGGATGGCAGGACGATAGGGAAGGCACGAGGGCTCCCCTGCACTCCCACTCCCAGAGGAAGCGAAGACCGGGAATGTCTCCCCCGGGCCGCAACTCCGCGGGGCTCCCCGGTCCCATCGTGTCCTTCCCCGTGAAGCCTCACCTGGCGCAAGAAGGCCTTTGCCGATGAGGCCTTGACGCCGGTGGGAGTTGTCCGCCAACGGGGAAAGGGCAGGGGAAGAGAGGGAACGTGGAAGAAGGAAAAAGCTCCAATCATGGCCAGAACAAACGTGAAAGCAGCCCTTAAACAGAGCCCTCATGACACTGTGCGGTTCAGTGGGGAGATACCCGCGGGAGGAGGGTTGCGGGCAAGGACCCGTGAGGGCCGGGGCAAGGAGCAGAGCGCAGCCGGAGAGGGAGGACGGGATCGACCCCTGCCCATCCTCCGGGCGCACCGTAGCCAGGCTGTGCCTGCGCTCCCGAACACGGCTGTATGGCGAGGACTTACTGCCCTTTCCCAGTGAAGGGAAGTCACCTGTGCGGGGAGGAACTGGGGCTGTGGACCTGAATCCAGGGGCACCTCGGATGCAAGTAGGGGGCGATGGACGGCGCCTGAACGCGAGCCGGCACGCAGCGGAGATGGATAGAGGCATGGCGCCTCTGCCCCCTTTTAAGTCTAGAGATGGGGGGAAAAAGGTAAGTAAAGAGGGAAAAGAGTGCTCAAATGACGGCGAGAGCGTAGAAGTGGGATTGCCGGCCTGATCCGGACCTCTCCTGGCTACCCTGCGCCCTCGTTCCGTAGACACCGTCCGTCTTAGGGTCTCCCTGGAGACACGGCCCTATCGCTGTCCCTGCCCGTTGGGGACGCGGTGGACTGACTCATCCCAGGATGGGGACCACCTCAGAGGCGACGCGCTCAATCTAGGCCGGGACAGTCCCTCTTCACCCACACAGAGATCACGGTGAGGAAGAGGGATTTCATTTCCACTTTCTCTTCATGGGAAAACTGATTAGGGGGATTTATTTGTTTCGTTGTTGAATTTTTGTTTGTTTTTAGGGGGTGTTGATTGTTTGTTTTCCTTTTTTCCTAACCCCCCAGATACAGCGGAGACCTCCCGAAGAAGCCTTTTAAAGCCACGCTCGGAAACGACACGAGGAGCGCCCCCGTTCCCGGCTGTCCTGTGAGCGCCAGCGCGAGGGAGTGTCTTAATTGCTGCTAATGACCCGCAGAGAGGATGCGAGGGAGTTATCTACAGCCGGGCAGAAATCAGTTAGAGAAGTGGCAATTAGGAGAGAAAGTGAGAGACAGGAGAGACCGTTACAGTGAAAAGTGAAGATTTCGGTGAAGTTTTCCAGAAATTCTTCCTGTGGAAAAGTGTCCCCGCGGAGAGTACACTGCGCAGCCCGGCGCTCCGCTCTTTCTTTCTCTCCTAGTTTCTGCGGACTTCCCCGCACTGCTCAAGAACTAACGCTTTGCGGGAGCGCAGCGGCCCCGTTCCGAAATTACGATTAAGATCACCGCAAAGCGGGACACTGCCGGAAAGGCGGCTTCCCGCGGCCGTCGGAGGCTCCAGACCCGTCTGAGAAGGAAGACACTCGTGGGGTACGCAGGCACCCGCTGCGGCGGGAGGGGGCTGCGCGCCGGAGCCGGGCAAGGTCTCCTTGACCCTAGTAGGGTTTGTTCTGCCGGGCAACCACCCCCCACGTCCCCGGGAGGCCCTTTCCAGGCCCGGCAGTATCTCTCCGTTTTCGCCTCCAATGTTTCCCCCGCCGCACGCCAGGGACTCACCGTAACAGGAGACCTGCAGAGTTCCGTTGTGGCCGCTGCTCTCCTGCAGCTTGATGTTGCTGTCCGGGGGGGTTTTGCAGGGGCCTCGCTGCATGTAGAGGTGCGGCGGCTGTTGCTGCGGAGGGTATTTGTTAAAGGAGGCCGGAGCCCCGGCAGAGCCGGCAGCCTGCACACTGCCATCCAGGGACTGACATTCCTGCTGGCTGTAGCGGCTCCGGCACTTAGTGCTGCTGTCACCAAAGCCTTGTCCTTTGCTGGCCAGGAAAGTAGGGCTGAACTTGTCACTTGCTTGAAATGCCCTAAAAGGCGAGGAGCCTTCTGTGTCCTGGGAGGCTGCGTTGTAGTAGGAATCCATGGCAGCCGGATCACAATAAGAAACACAAGTATCAGCATTCATTCCTAAAATTAAAAGGCCCGAGTGTCCTTAATGCGCTTGGAGGGGCACCAGGAACCACTCTTTCTCTCTCCCTCTCGCATAGACACACACTCACAGCTGGGCTGGGGAGCTCTAAGAGAATTCAGATGTTGGTGAAAGCTGACCAGAACTCCAAACCCCCTTAAGATCTCGCACAGTAAAAGGGGTCTTTTTCTTTCCCTCCCTCCCTCTCTCTCTCTCACACACACGCTTGCCCTCCGTCTCTCCCTCTAAACTACACTTTAAAGAGGCTCTTCTCCGCACTTTCCCCCCACAATAGGAAAGAAAAAAAAAAAAGAGAGAGACCTCTCCCCCAATTAGTATGTAGATGATGACAGTGGAGGGGAGGGGGCCCAGGAAGGGGTGTGTGAGAGTGTGTGTGTTTATGGGGATGTGTGGAAGCAGACGGGGGGTGGAGGTCATATCTTTTGCGTTAAAAAAAAGTTTAAAAAATAAGCCAACTAAACAAAACAAAACCAGCCCCAAAATTTTTTATGATTAAAAACCAGAAAATCAAGCAGATGACATGAACGCCACGAAGGAATGGGTGCGGGATCCGCGCCGGCGGAAGCGCCAGGGACGATTTAATGGTCGTGACACGCTCTGTTTGCTCCGGCCCTCTCCCCTGCTCACTGCCCCAGCTGCGGGGACCCTCGCCGCCGCGACCCCCTCCTCTGTATTAAAGGCAATACGGATTTCCCTCGCAGCTATATGTCTTTAAGCCTCCCCCCCACCCCTCATCGTATTAACCCCTTCAGGGACGACAGCTCTCCCAGCGCTGCAGTGAGGCGGTGCCACAGTCGCCCCGCACATCGCCGGACGAGCTCTCCATCGCGTCTTGGCGCACGTTTATGATGGTCGTGATTTATTTACCTCTAAAAACGTGCTCTCTCCAGGTGTAAAACAACTGCATCCAAACGGGAGGGCAGCAGGGAGGGATTTTAACAGTATCACCAAGCATACAGAATTGCACCAGGCTTCTGGGATTGCCAGAGGTGACTTGTAAAAGGACAGAGGCTGACAGGAACCCTTTTTGGTTTGAGGGTTCAATTGCAAACCAAAAAGGGCTTAAAATAAATCAATACTCACCTTTCGTCGTCCATCTCCCCCCGCCCCCCCGCCATTCAACCTGACTCCCCTCCTCCCTCAATTAACTCCTACTACCCCTTCCACTTACTCGTACCCTGCCTTCCTCCCATCCCCACATCTGGTTTCTATTGCTCACTTACCTTGAAGTTTTCAGTAATAAAGATATTACGCAAACTAAATGCGCAGTTCTTCGGTCAAGAAGGAAAAAAAAGAAAAGAAAAAGTGAAATAAAAGAAGAGAAAATTAAGTAAATAAAACAGAAAATAGAAACGGAAAGGGAAGAAAAGAAGACCCTTAACCCCTTCGGGAGCGCTGGCCGTGACGAAGCCGGCTGCGGGCGGGGAGCGGGGCACCGTCGGCTGCTCTGGGCTCCCAGCGGGTTCCCCGCGGAGTCCGGCCCATGTGTCCTCCCTTCTCCCGCGCAGCTTCCTCCACCCCGTGCAGAGTCGGGGGGACTCGTGGCTTTCATCTGTGTGTGTGTGTATCTGTGTGAGTGGGGGGGAGCAGGCTGCGGCTCGGGGGAAAGCGGGCCGGCAGAATGGGAATGCGACCCCCAAGACGACTGCTCGGGAGGGGCCCGTGGACACCGCCAGCCTCCAGGCCTTTGCTCCAAGAGCAAGGCCAGCACCGCCGTTTTCATTATCTCAGATGTGACACTAGGCGCCCACCCCTCGCACCAGTATGCAGAAGGGATTTCTAGCGACGTCCTCGTTAAAAACAGACAGAGATGGTTTCATTTACGAGATTTCAAACCATTTTGCAAGTCTCACTCAGAGTAGCGCTGGGCTCGCTCAGTTTTCTTGTCCAAGAAAGCTTTCAGCGGATTTGCCTTCCTTATTCTCTTTATTACCTTACTTAATTCTTTTCTCGTCTTTTCTCTCTCCCTTCCCAAACTCCCCCAACCCACCGCAGCCCCCTCTCTTTCCCTTGTCCGCCACATAATGAAAACCAAACCAACTCAACGCATAAGAGTCTTTCTAAAAACCACTTCGGGGCGGCCAAGGGGGCCGGGGCATTGTCGGTACCGGCAGCCTTCGAGCGGCTCCGCCGAAGGGCAGCTGCTCTGGGTACCGGCAGCACTCCAGCTCCCGCATCCTCGGCTCCGGCACGTCGGACTCGCAGCCTCTCTCACGGAGGAGGGGCACGTTAAATACTTGTTTTCCAGTTCTTTCCCCCACGATTATTTCGGGGAACGAAAGAAATTCTGTGAGGGCAATTCTCGATGCTACGGCTTTATATTCGGCCTCGGGATTTCTCTTTGGCAAAGTTAAATAACATCAAGAGTAAAATCTAAAGGCGGAGATTTGGGGATCGGGCAGGAGATTTTACATATATATATATACACAAATATATATATACACAAATATATAAATACACACACATATATATATATATATATAAAAATTTTTATTCGGAAGTAGTGCGAGCAGGTAAAGCTCCAAAGAGACAGTGCGGCGTGGCCGAACCGAAGGAGGGGCCTGCCCAGGTTTTTCCCTTCGGTCAGAGCAGTCTCCCAAGCCTCTCTTGCATTAGCTGTAACGAAAAGTCCATTAATTTCATATCACAGCTGATCCGCAGCCCTTGGAAAGGACTGCAGTAAAACCCTCTCTCTAATGGCCAATTTTCCGTCTCTGGAAGCGGGAGGTTAATTTGGGAATCGTTACCGGGAGAAAGGGTGCGCGCAAATACCTGGCGATCTAGCGGGGGTGGGAGGGAAAAACGGGGTAGTCACTTTTCTTGACGGTTTTCGTTTAGGTGGATTGGGTTTTGCGTGCAGTTCTCTCAGCAAGTGTGATGGGGGATTCCCGCAGCCCCCGTTAGCCGGGGAGCGGAGCCTTGAGAATACAGAAGCAAACAGGGAGCCTGTAGCCCCCTCCTGTTAAACAAGGCGATGGGGCTTCTTGTCGCGGCGCTGCCGGCACGGCCGTGTCCCTCGGGCCGCGGGGCTCTGCCAACCCGGTCTCGCCGCGCTCCTGCCTGCGGGACCGAGGATCCGCAGAGCAGGGACACAAAGGGACAAGCAACACTTGAGGCACGATATCACCATTTTTTTCAGAGTGATCTCAAACCTGCCCTATCCCTGCATCAAATGCGTCCAAAAGGGAAGGGCGAAAGGGCAGCCGAAAGGTCTGCGCTCCGCAGAAACCCGTTGCCAATTCCGTGTGTATGTATGCTTTATATGGAGACGGTTTTCAGGTATGATTGCTGTTAGTTTTGGAAGGGGTCACTCCCGAGGGTCCCTTCTCACATAGAGCTGCGGGAGCCCATATGAGAGCCAACCAGTCCGACTGTATGGACGGCAGCTCACACCGAGCGAGTCATAGCTGGGGGAATTGTCGGAAATCTCCAGCGCCGGGATATCCAGGTGTCGCCTGCCGGCGACACCCCAGGGAACAGGGACAGCTCAGGACAGCCCTGCCTGGCTTGTTTTCGAGAAGCCGTTTCCTTTCTGCAGAGGCAAGGGTGGGCGTCGCTCCCGGGTGAGAACCCAGTGCGAGGCGCAGACGATAGCAGACGGATCCTACATCTCGATCTCTGAAAGAAAAACAAATCTTTATTCCCGTGCGATTTAAACAGTCAGGCTTGTGTCAAGTCCAGGGGAAAGGCAGAGGTTTCTGCACACCGGGTGCGACAGCGCAGGGCTGCGGGAAGCGGGAGCCGGGAGGGCTTCTGGGACGAACCCCGCTCTCGCAGGAGGCCGAGGGGAGGAGGCAGGAATGCTCTTCCCCGCTTTCCCAACCACGGCCGAGGGAAACCCGCCGTGTCCCCTCAAGCCTCCACCGTCCTCCCGACACTCCCAGTGGTTGCAGCCGGAGCAGAAACAGGATGGCTGAGGAGAGTCCCGGCAGGACTCTGGAGTGCCGGCTCCAGAACCCCCGGTCCTGCTCCCTCCCTCAGAGAGGTGGGAGAGTAAATGCCTCGGTTCAGGGAGCGGGGTCATTTCACTGGAGAGAGGAATGGAGAGAGGGGGGATCTTTCACACCGTTTCCTCTCGGCACTTTAGTAGAGCCCTGCTCTTGGAAACTGCCTCGAGTTTGTTTCCCCAAAGGGTTAGTTTGTGTGGTCACTTCAGAGCTGCGAGCTCCTTTTGTACTGAACCGAGATCTGAAGGCGACCTATTTATAACACCGCTGCAAGGGGGGAGAGAGGGAAAAAGTATTCAAAAAGTATTCGCGCTAATCTCCCCTAACTTTTTTTTTTTTTTTCCAGCGGGACGAAGACTGCATCTTTATTTCGGGCGTGGAGCTTGCCTAGCGACCATCCCGACAGTACCTGCCGCCTTGCGCTCTTGGCTCCTGCCTCCCGCCGGGCACCGTCTGGGGCCTGAGCAGCGCTTGGCGGGGGCTGTGCTGTCCTGCCTTTTGCGCCTTTCTTCAGGGATAAATGTCGATAAATGTTTGTTGTTACCAAAATACATTCCTCGTGTCAAGAAGGTGCTTGCAGAGAACTGGAGCTGACCAGCTCTTCTCTTCCCAGGGAAAGCGAAGGAGCAGGCTCCGAGACGGGACAGGCTGGCCCCTATCTCCCCGGGCTTGTGTGGGCAAAGCTTTTCTATTCACCTCCTCCGAACTGCCCCCTGCTGCCTCTTACCACCATCTCAGTAAGGCGGCAGTGCCTGCTCCGCTTCCCGCAGGCTCTCATCCCTCAGCCCTTGTGCCTTTCGGCTGTGGACCCGCAGCCGCGCTGCCCGTGGCTCCCCGCGGCCTCGCTCCGCAGTCTGGCCCGCCTTACTGCTCCGGGGACGGTGTCTTCCGTGCAGGTCCACAGGTGTGCATGGCCACCTGTCCGTGTACCTGGATGGTGTCACCAAAGCGGTCACCGAGGGACGGTGGGTGCGGGACCCGAGGGACCCAGGATGCCCTCCGTTGCCGGTCAGCGGACTGAGCGGCTTA